GAATTGTGATTATACGAGATTATTACAGTGTTGTTTTACATTGTTGAAAAATGATTACAAATATGACACTCTGTCTGAGGTGCCACAATTAATATGTCCTGCCCAAGGGAGTATAATAACAATATCATCAAAAAAACTCAGTCCTTTGAAATAATATGGTGATCCTGCTCATCTGCTACTGCTCCTCATCATACACATGTCCCCAGCATCACACCATTCATCAACCACTGCCTCTTTTATGCCATTATTTCTATTTTTTTTAGCTTGCTCATATTGGTGCAAACACTTGATATTTTCATTTCGAGTCACTCCTTTTTTATTAACATGAAAGTCTCCTGTTTCATCCATTTTCCTGCAAGGTATGTGAATTCATTCACTTTTGTCACTGTAGAGGATGCCATTACACATATATACATTTCTTGATCAATTCATCTTGACAGCTGTGGCAATAGCAGCCTAGGTTGTTCCATAGCTTACTTATTGTGAATTATGCTGTAAAAATGTGGATATTATGGAGAAACAAAATATGGAAATAAATTTCATTCAGTGAGTCAGGCCGAGTTTGAGTTCCTTTGAATATTATTGAATATTACTACTCTTACATCAAGAGTAAGCTCCTTTGTGCTTTTCAGAGAAATGCTAGCTGTTTTCAGAGGATACTTTCCTCAGCAGAACTCTAATTTAATTTGTTTTCCCTTATATGAAGCAAACATAGAATTTTCCTCTCAGATTTTCTTATTCATAGCTTTTAGAATTATTTTGTATTTTTAAAAATAACCAAACTATAAAACTTTATTGTATTTTCAGAGTTTTAGAGTAAGGACATTTTGACTGGGTTGTGACTTGTTGAGAAATTTATGAGTGTTTTATGCTGGTTTGCATATTCCTTCCCTTAACTAAATATTTCAACCAATTGTTTATTAATCTTATACTTTGGAATTTTTCACATTAAAGGTTTTCATATTGTTTGGAAGTCAATTACTCTTTCCTGGAAAAATGCAAGACTTTATCCTCTAGGGATTGTCATGAGAAGAAAACTAGCTAGGGGAGATTACATCACTTGAATCTGTTCCAAATAGTGATGATGTAGAAGTGCCATCGACTGGATCTGCATGTGTAAATGGAAGAATTATTCTCCTGTGAGAATGACCCAGGAGGTCTCTGAAAATTCAAATTCTACACCAGTTGGAGCATTCATTCAGTTGATAGCAGGTTCTGGACATGCTATGCATTCCTCTTATATCATCATTGTTTTTAAAAGTTGGTGAGCTAACAAAGTTTCTTAGGATGAATTTGGGGGTTATAGGGGGACGTTTTTATTGTGAAATAATACAGATCTTAGGAAAATGTCATGTGAATGACAGATAGATTGAATTATTCTGCTTCTACTTGTGGGAAAATTCCACTGTGAATTTTTATAAAGTTGAATCACAGTCTTTTACTTATTAGGTACAGAACTTGTCAATCAGGTACATGAATGTCACTGGAAACCCTGAAACAGGTTAATTTCCATTGGTTGTAGCATTGAAACTTACTATGTTTGTTTTTGTATAATGAAATGCTTCCAACAGGTGAGAATATTCCAGTACTTTATATACGGTGAATGTTATTATTTAAAAGTCTCTTTATCTTAGGCATCTGTTTTATACAGTTGAAGATTTCTCTGAAACACAGTTATTCAAAGTACTATTTTGAAGTATGGAAACTGTATTCACTTGGAAATGTTTCTAGATGTATTTATCAGCCTCACATTTTTGGGTCTTTTTTGATTACAAAGATCTACATAAAACATCTACAGTTATCTTTATGAAAGAGGCCTTGATTTTACTAGCTCTGGAAAACACACAAAATGCAAGTTAATAAAACAAATGCCAATAGTCATTGTACAAAAGAGAGGAAAAGAAAGTGCTCTAAATGATATAACTGCATGTATATTTAAGTGTATAAGGTAGAAAATGATATCACTGAGTTTTATTGGATCATTGAACAGAACTGTTTGCAGTATCATTGTTGGAATGCCCACTTTACAAGCTTTAATTTTGTGACTTGAACAATTATTTATAAGATGACAATATGTAATCCATTAACTAGTGATTTCCTATTGTTTTTTTTCCCTGTGGATCTGTATGGCTTGTACCCTTTCTCTGCTTTTTTTTTTTTTCTCCTTAAATAAAATTTAAAAAATGCCAAGCATCATAGCTGAAAATTCCTTTGGCATACTGAAATGGAGCAATGCCATTTATTCTCATTGTAGATATCTCAACTGGAAGAATATAGCCAAAAATCATAGACATTAATTAGAGAATGTAAAGTTTATTTGGTTTTACTAGTACACTTGATAGGTGTTTGTTTTGTATTTGGTCAAATAACAAGTGCTAAATATTGCATGCAGAACAAATTAATGAATTTTCCAAAGTTTATATGATATTACATGTTGTTTAATATGCTAACAATGAAGTATAATCTCTTTTAGGCATACATATGAACTGGAAAACATAAGATTACACATTAAATGAAGTATGCTAGAAAATAATGGAATAAGTATGCTCTGGATACTTTTGTACCTTTTTATGGATTAACTTAAAAATTGCTCCAGAAAATATGTCAGTACCTGTACATAGAGGCCTGGATACTGAAGGAGTAACTCACCCACTGTTATTTACAGTTTTATGAGTGTTACTATAAAGTACCCTATAGAGCATTTTTGTTGCTCTGATACTATGTTTTTACAAATACTAAATTTACCTTAACCTATGATAATTTTTTTTCTAGAAACAATTTAAAATTTCAATATGAAAGATGAATTATACAATATCTTTCAGTTTTGTTGATGTCATGTACTACAGAAAAGTGCATGCTTTACATACCTTACTTTTAACATAGATAATAAAACTACCAATAGATACAACTTTTTAAATTTATCCTGATAACTAAGGAGCACAAACATTTCTGAAGTAAGTTTGGAAAATTAGACCATTGGACATATTCTTTTATGCTTTAACAGGTATAGGTTTTTGTTCATAGCTTCAACAGTGGCATATTTACTGAATAGAGGGGAGAAGTTCTGTGAGTGACACATGTGAAAAAGGTTCCTCAAAACTGACTTCTAAAGGCAGCTCAGAATCTTCCGGCACACATCTCCTTCCACTACCTAGTCCATGTGCATGGAGTTCTCTTGCTTCAAGCCACAGTATGTCACAGGCAAATAGTGCTAGTTCTTATGTATAATAGAATATTAAAAATTTTAATATACAATTTTAATATATATTCAAAAAGGGTCTTCTTATGTATAAATATATAATTTATATCCTGGTGTATGTCTATAATCCTGATGAAATTTTCAGACATCAATGCATGCAGTGAAACACAGAAAAAATAATAAAGTTTTAGATTTTATCAGATGGCCACAGTGTTCTACACATGTAATTAAAACAACCTTAACAGATAGAAGGTGCTGCAGATATCAACATCTTCACACAATGGAATGGGAATATAGGGTCATTTACTAAGTTAGTCAATGGCACCTAGCGATTAAGGGAACAGAGCTAGGATAACTCTGGTTACCCTCACAAACACATCAGTCCAACAACCACTGTGTTCAGGACTGTGCTATGCTCTCTCTAGAATCACTTGGGTCCTGTTTAAGAAGATAGTGAATGCAAATCAGAGTCAAAGTTTGATTACTGTCAATGTTATATCTCATTTCTACAGGTTGGCATATTTCATATAATGGTAATAAACTGCAAAATATTATTTGCTGATAAAATATGAAAAGAATACAAATATATAGAGGAAAAATGATAGCCCTGCACTAAAAACTGTGTATAGCAGCAGTAGAAAGAATTCTGACTTCATCTAATTAAAAACATTTGTTTTTTAATTTGCTTAGAAATATTAGTGACTGTGTTTAGAAAACCACTCATGCATCTGCCTTTGCATGTTGAATATCAAGATTTTTTGTGGAATGTTTATGTGAAATATTCACATTAAAATTTTACTTTAAGCATTCTCAATACAGAGGAATTTTTCTGTGTTACACCATGTCACACAATTACCTGCCTCTATTTTCATTTTATATTTTTACATTTTTGTAGTATCTAACTTACTCTAATTGTCCTGAAAATCTAATACAGTGCCAGCAGTCAATACATTGGTTGTTCCTAGTCTTGGATTAGCACAATTAAATATAGTTGCTAAAAATCAGGACAGAGAATATGAATTTGCTAGGAACTAGATGTAGACAAAAATAAGATGGAAAAAGATGTCTTGAAAGTAAAAAAAGTCATATTTAAATAAAGGGATTACCAGAGACATTAATGTGCTAAATTTAAATTTGCAGTTATTTGACACATTACAAAATCTATTATGTTTGAGTTATCAGTACATAAAAAATGATTGAAAATTATTTCATGCATGAAAGACCAATCATCTAATGTGTGGTAGATATAATAGTATTCAGTTGAATATCCCAGCAGAGGGGTTACATTTGGCGTCGCAGACATCAGGTAGTAAAGTTATCCCACAAAATTGCTATATACTAATATGACTGAGTCTGTGTCAGCCTAAAATCTAGAATTTTTTTGTTATTACTAAAGAAAATATTTTTGGCACCAGGAACACTTTCCATGTTCATCACTGTTGACTTCTATGTCAAAGCATGACATAGTTAAAAGAAAGTGTTAATAAATATGTAAAATAGATTTGGTTTTTTACTACACTTCTCTATGTACTGTCATCTATGACAGTATTAATAACAAAGGGACTCATCTCAAAAATAATCATCAGAGGAAACCAGAATCACAAAGAAAGTGTTTATTTGTCTTCTTGAGAATTAGGAATTAGAAAACTATTAACTATTTTCTATGTATTCACTACTGTAAGACACATAGTGATGAACATATGTATCAAGATAGAATGGATTTGTGATTCTATCCCTGATTTCCTGGCAGGTTGTATTCTAATGAGCTCTCATTTCTGAAACAAGCCTTCTAGAAGACTGAATGACACATAGTAACAATGTCACAGAATTTGTTTTCCTGGGCCTCACTCAGGATCCCAATGGACAACGGGCATTATTTGTCATCTTTTTATTCATCTACATGGTGACCATGGTGGGCAACCTGCTAATCATGGTCACTGTCTTTGTCAGCCCTTCCTTGGGCTCCCCAATGTACTTCTTCCTTGCATATCTGTCACTCATGGATGCTGTTTATTCCACTGCAATCTCACCCAAGATGCTTGTAGACCTGCTCAGTGGCCGAAAGATCATTTCCTTCCCAGTCTGCATGGCGCAGCTCTTTGTAGAGCACCTATTTGCAGGTGCTGAAGTCTTTCTTTTGGTGGTGATGGCCCTTGACCGCTATGTGGCCATCTGTAAGCCTCTACACTATTTGACCATCATGAATTGGCGAGTTTGCATCCTCTCACTGGTGATGGCATGGGCTGGAGGTTTTGTACACTCTGCGGTTCAACTTGTTTTTGTGTCTAGTCTCCCCTTCTGTGGGCCCAATGTCATTGATCATTTCATGTGTGATTTGTACCCTCTGTTGGAACTTGCATGCACTGACACTTTCTTTATTGGCCTCACTGTGGTTGATAATGGTGGAGCCATCTGTATGGTGGTCTTTATCCTCCTGCTCATCTCCTATAGTTTCATCTTAAAGTCTCTTAAAACTCACAGTCAGGAAGGGAGGAAAAAAGCCCTTTCTACCTGCAGCTCCCATATCACTGTGGTTTTGCTCTTTTTTGTCCCCTGTATTTTTATGTATGTTAGACCTGTTTCCAACTTTCCCATTGATAAATTTATAAGTGTGGTTTGTACTGTAATTACTCCCATGCTGAATCCTTTAATATATACCCTAAGAAATTCAGAAATGAAAAGTGCTATGAGAAAACTTTGGTGTAGAATGTTAAATGGAGATAGAATATAAATATGAGTCTCATACCAATTCTGTTTGCTACTAACTCCACAAACAGAACATAAACTCTGAAACATGATGTTGCCAACACAGTGGACTCTTTGTGACAACACCTCTTTGTTGTGAAGCCATCAGAAAACACAATGAATTCTCTGAGATTAATATTTTACAGATTAGTCTTTTACAAAATAAGTGAACAGAAATAAAAGATAATACTTCTATTGTAAGAAAAAATAAAGGTCACTTAGAAAAATTATGGTTTTAAATTTTTATTGAAATTGAAATTTTTAAACAATGAAAATAAATCTTTTTGATGACAAAAATTATTCTATTGCTGCATTTATTCATATGATTTAGAGATACATATTGATAAAAGATGCATTATATTAATTAGTGTCATTTTATTATTTTTTTAAAATTCTGTATTTTTTGTATACTTCTTTCTGTTTTGTGTTTTTTAAATAAAAGTTGAACACTAGAAATGTAAAACACAATGTATGCTGATAGGAATTTCTTTTTCTAACTGAAATTCTTTCATGGAAGTAGCATATTCACATAATCTGTTTTACAGGTAATAACATGCTTTTACTATGGCTGTGCTATGAATTGTACTCTACCAATAGAGTGTAGCACATTCACTCTTCACCTATTGGTATAATATCTGATGAATTGCTTAGTACTTTACTCTGAAATGCTTAGTGAGTGTAATTGTGATTTTAATATACATTGTATTTCCTCTGAAGTCGAGCATATTTTTGTATGTTGATTGAAACCATTTTGTAATTTTCTATGAAATATGTATTTATGTTTTGGCTAGGTTTGTTTTCTTATTATCAAATTATTATCACTGTTTATTTATATTTCATACTAATTCATTATTGTGTATATGCCAAAAGAATCTTCTGAACTTATTTTTCACTTGTTACACCATTATTTCACTTAATAAACAGGAATTTATTCTATGATTTCATTTCTTAAATGTTTTATTTCTTAAACTGAGAAAACTAACATATTTATGATGCATAATATATTATTTTGAAATATATACATATTGTAGAATGTCTAATTCATGCTAACTACTATATTATTACTAAAACAGCAATTTCTTTTGTATTGAAAACACTTATAATCTGTATTTAGTCATTCTCAGGAACACATTATTTTCAAGAAAATTTTATATTGCTGTTAACTATATTCACAATGTTGTGCAATAAAGCTCTGAAATTCATTCCTATTAAATGAAGTTTTGCATACACTGACCATTTCTACATATCTTCATTGATTAGCTAATTGCTAGCAGCTGATATTGTATTGTTTAATATGAGCTTACTGTTTTATAATTCACACATAAGTGAAACATTACAGTATTTGTCTATGACGTCTGGTTTCATTTAACATACTCATTCATTTTAGTATAAATGGTAGAACTGAATTTTCTTCTGTTGCTGAACCATATCAAACTGTACTGCCAGAGGCAAAGTACTCTTGGTGGTAAGTTGATTTTCAACCAGGAGACCAAGGAAAATACCTAGAAAGAGTCTTTATAAGAGATAATACAAGTAACTGGCCCTCATAGAGAAACTGTTAATTGCAACTCGAGTAGGGAGGATCCAGAGGAAGTGAGAATGGTGTCCATCACCATTTCCTCGTACTACCTGGAAATACCACCTTGTCACAATTCCACAGGAGATGGATTGAGTTCAAAAGACTTTCCATTTACTACAGTAGAGGAGGACAAGTCAAGGGTCCCACAGGGTTAAATTCTCATGGGAGGAGCATACAGGTGAACACCTTGGCCTGGTCCAATCTATGAAAGTCACAGACCAGTCAGCAGCCTTTGTAGCACAGCAGGCAGAAGATTGGATGAAATGACCAGCAACTGCTCCCCTCTAGGTCACTGAAGGGAGAAGTTTTATGGATTACTCTGCATCACAGCAACATCATTAGCTCTCTGGCACAAATGAGTTCTGCAGCTATCATATGAAATGTTCTATTGTCTGTTAGATTGCTTTGGTGCATACTCTCATTTACCTCTAATATTTCTTTGCTGATTTTCTATTCTTTGGTGAAAGTGAGATATTAATGTCCTTACCCATGGTTATTTTGGAATCTGTATTTGTCCTTTATCCCTAACATTTTTTTTTCTATCCTAGTATTTTTTCACAAGAAGACAAACACTCTTGCATTTCTTCATCTTGGCTAGAATCTTGGCTAGTTTAATGATGATTGAATATTTAGAATTTTATTTATGCATAATATTAGTTGATCTTATACCATTTTAGCAAAATGCATTGCTTTATTAGAAAAAATAGACAAAATTTACAGACATAAGGGAAAATTAAAAATCTTAAGCTCAAAATCAATATCATACTTAATGGTGAATTCCAAAGACTTATTTTTATGTGTAGCTCTCATTTACACGCAGAATATTCCTACCAGAGTATTATCCAGGTTTTTATGCCAAAACTGAAAAACACGAGACATAACTAGAATCTCTATGTTTAGGATGCTTCCTACTATCTTGATGGCATTTGAAATAAAGGAAAGGCAAAGGCTTGTTTTGCTCTGTGAATTCAATGTCATTTTTGTTATCTTTAAACCTCCAGTCTTTCTTAATCCAACAAACTCTGCTGTCTGCTACTTCAGCATTCACAACACCTGCATTAGAACAAATCTTCATTTTTTGTTATTTCTTTTAAGAGAAGAGCATTTAGGGGCTGGTAATTTAGCTTACTTGCATAAGCACCTGCCTTGTAAGCAGCCAGTCATGAGTTCGATCTCCAGTACCAATAAAAAGATAAGAAAAAAAAAAGAGAGAGAGAGAGAGAAGAGCATTTAAAATGTTTGGAGTAAATATTCACTGAAATATAGAGAAACATAAAACCTGAACTATGTAAATACTGATAACATGTGGAACCTTAAAGGAAGTATGGTTCAGACTTTTTGAATACATTCGAATGTACTTATTGTTCTCTCTTTGATTCCTTAGAAAATATCCAAAACAAGAACAATCATCAACGAACCCAGAATAATTAAAAATGCCTAAGGCTTTGACAAACCTGGACATAATTTCTTCAATAACATAGCTCCAAAGTTGATTTTCAAGAAATGCCTCCAGAATCTACAGAAGGTGAGCCTTGAAACTTGCTTTTTAAGTACAGGAATACACAAAAGATGTTCTCCCTCCAAATGATGGTATTCCCCCCCACAAACTGAGAAGTCATTCAGATAGAACAATATAGCACCTTCTGCAAAAGAAAAGGTAACCCATGAGGAGGCATGATGATTGCTAACGGATGAACAAAATAATTTTAAATCTTCTTGGAAAATACTCAGAAAGAGAATAACGGAACCTCTAATCATACTTTTTTAGGAATCTTCACATCAATTACCATAGTGGTTATACCAGTCTATACTCAAAACAATAATGGAGAATGTTTTTTTCTCCCCACAGTTCCTCCAGCATTTGCTATTTGTTGATTTATTGATGTTAGGCATTTTGTCTGGAGTGAGATGCTATCTCATTGTTTCTTAATTTGCATTTCTCAAGTTACCAATCATATTGAACTTCTTTTATATGTTTATAGTTCTTTGTAATTCTTCATCTGAGAATTTTGTATTCATCTCCGATGCCCAGTTTTGCTTTGGATCTTTAAAAATTGTGGTCATATTTTTTCAGTTCTTTATACATTCTAGATAAAAGTTCTTTGCCTGAGGACATTTGTCAAATTTTTTTCCCCATCCATGAACTTTCTTTTCACTCTGTAATTTCTTTTGATGTGCAAATTTTTTTTATAAGATGAGACCCTAGCTGCTGATTCTTTGAAGTACTTTCCATGCAGTTTGGTATTTTATTCATGAATTTCTTGCTTACCTCTATGTCCTCAAGATTTTTACCTGCTATGTTTTCCAGTAAATTTAGTGTTTCTGTCTTTATATTAATTCATTTTGACTTTGTTTTATTGCATGATGATAGGCATGAGTCTAGTTTAAATATTCAGCATCTAGAACCAGTTTTTTAAGCACCACTGGCACAGCTATGCATGTGCAATCATGTTTATAGCAGTCAAAATTCATGTAATAAATAAAAAAAGGTGAAACTATTACAAATCTTGTGGAAATTCAGAAGGGCATCAATATGTACTTTGAAGATCTGTACTCTCATGGAAAGAAAACACAGAAAAATGACACATTCCTAGAAACATAAGAATCACTAAAACTGGATCAAGAAGATATAAAAATCCTGTATAATACAATATGAATTAATGAAATTGAAAATACAATTAAAAACTTACCAACAAACACAAACTCAATTCCTAATTGATTTATAGCTGAATTCTGCAGCAAATTTAGACAAAATTTAATACCAATGCTTCTCAAACGCTTTCATAAAATTGAAAGGATAAGAATTCTCCTTAACTTATTCCTGGGGCCAAGCATTACTCTGGTACCAAAACCAGAGAAAGACCTAAGCAAATAAATAAATAAATAAATAAATAAATAAATAAATATTAAAAAAATTAAAAAAAAAGAATTACACGTCAGTCTCTCAAAAAAACATAGATGTTGGAATCCTCAATAAAATACTAGCAAACATAATGCAACAAATTATAAAGATGAATAAATGCCATCACCAAGTGGGATTCTTCCCAGGAATGCCAATCAAGCAAGCCTTGCAGAAAAAGTATGATCACACATTATTTCGGAAGCTAGACAATGGGTTAGAAAATAATGAAGCAGTGTTTAAGGAAATATTTGAAATTGTTTTCTGGGTTTGAGGGATGAGATTAGTTTTTTTTGTCATAGGAGTTCTCCCCAGACATTTAGAAAGAGAGAAAAAAAAAAGGGAAAAAAAAGAAACAAGAAAGAAAAGTAAAAGAGGAAGAGGAAAAAGGAAATAAAATAGAAGAAAAAAAGTTGAGAGAAAAAGGGCTTGGATTCTTTCTGAATAGGTTGTAAATCCCCACAAAGGCTTCAGTCTCCTGTTGGCTTGTTTTGCTAATATTACTTTG